GTCGAGCGGCGGAGACATGACAGTATACTGATCAAACTGAGATGATCGTGGGTGAAGGTTGCACGCGTGTAAATTGGATGATATATTGTGGGTATTTTCGTCTGATTGATAATTTGAGAACTTAATGGAATATTGAATTTGTTTTGGGGCTAAATAGGGCATAATATGTTGGGTTTGGACCTTTGGGTCAGTTCCCCTTTTATCTATGAGCTTGGGCTAGAACAAGCTAACTTGGTGCCTGAATGTTAATGGTGTAACTTGGACGGGTTCAACTCGAATAATTTGAACCTAGTTTGAATTTTTTTAGGGCTTGTATAAGGTATTTTCAAATTTGATATGGGCTTAGGCAAAAATTCAGAAGTGCGAATTAAATTTAGGTGGGCATGGACAAAGACGTCAAACAATCCGAACAATTCGAAACTTGAATTGTACATATATAGATATATAAAAATATTAAATATACATATAAATTATTAGTCATTACATGATATTAAAGTAATTTAGATTATTAAATCATATTGAATATATATTATATATACAAATAACATAAAATCATATATTTTTTTTTTATTTTCACTCATAAATTATAAGGTATAACGGCATCTCTTACATTATATAAATTATTTATTTTGATGGTATTAATGATTTTTTATAATAAAAAAAATGTAAATAGACTCAAATTTTAATAATTTAATAATGTAGTTGGAAAAAAAAATTTTGAAATTCATTTACAATTTGGACAATTTGGGCAACTCGGGCAGTTCAGGTTTAACTCAGGTCGGGCTTGCTCAGGCAACCTCGGATTACAATTTGGGCCCAAGCAAGCCTGGGCAGATCTCAGCACAACTTAGGTTGGACTTGGACAATCTCCCAACCCGATCAAATTTGCCCGAGTTGCACCCCTACTGAATATCAAAGAGGATTATTCAAAAAACATATCAGAGAGAGAGAGAGAACGAGACCTATTTTTTAAATAGCAGTTTAGTGAAAACTATGAAATATTTTGAAATATTATGTGATATTGTATTTTATGTAAATTATTATTTGTCTCTCAATTATTTTCATATAATTTTTTATGTGTTATGTAATATTTCAAAATTGTTGAATAATTACCCAATAGTTAGAGACTACAACTAGATATACAAATCAACTCTTTACTTTAAACTTGGTTCATTGTGTTAATTATGTCAGTACATTGAACTAACCTCCCTCTTGCTATTGTGGCCTCCAATCTGTAGAGCTAGAAAGTAAAGGATTTGATTAAAGAGTCCAAGGTGGTCCTTTTGTTGGGTTTTCATTAATTAAAATATTCTAATTAATTAAAAAATTTGACTCATAACTCCAATAAATGAGATACATAAACATAATATTAATTTCTCTTTCTTTTCAAAATATCTAAAGAAAACCATATAAATATTGACATTACTATGTGCTCTTTTGAGAAGCTAGTAAAAAGCCAATTTTTAAGACAAAATAAGTTAAAAAATTAAAAAATTAGTTTTTTTACCAACTTTCTAAAACACCCTTATATAACAGAGACCACATTTATTATATTTCTGTTGATATCATATATTATTTTTCTGTTAATTGTGATAAAAATTTAGTCTTGTTGTGACCTATCGATTCATATCATAATTTATCATTTAAAGTGATTATAGTCATATTTTATTATTTTTATCATCTATTATTATTAATGTTATTAGTTTGTACGGGGTGCACATTACTTAGGGTTGGTTTGGGAAGTGGGTTGGCTTTTTGGCTTTTAGGCTTTTTTGGCTATTTTAGCCTGGACTAAAAAGCTTGGTTTGGGAAGGGCTTTTTGGCTTTTTGGATTTTTTGGCTTTTTTTGTGAGAGAAGAGTGTAATGATTATGGGTTGGATGTGATGTTTTGTTTTTTATGGCTAAAATAGTCTATTTTATTTTTTGTGACTAAAATAGCCAAAAAAGCCCAAAACCTAAGTTGCCAAACAGAGGCTTATTAAAAGGCCAAAAGAACTAAAAATCTAAACGACATGCACAAAATAAGGGATCATTTCAACCACTCCTTGAGGATAGGTAAAACCTAACATATGGATCATGGCACGAAAAACTTGAATGAAGCTACAATTGTGGTCCGTAAATATGATGAGAGAAGACGAGCAAAAATCATCAATCAAACACATCAATTTTATACAAGTTCGGTTATGCGTAGTTTATCTTAAGTTTTAGGAGTAGTTTATTCTCTTTAAGCGTAATTTTAATTTAGTACTTCTATAATCATTTTTTAGTTCTTGTAATTAGTAAACATATTTCTGGTTCTTTTGTATTTTTGTTTTGTTCTTGTTCAAATCTTTGTAACAAGTAATAATTTCAGTAATACAATATTAGTTTTAATTTGTTTCCTTGTGTCGATTTCCTCCAAAGAAGTCATTGATTTGTTCAAGGCATAGAATACAATCACAAAGTCTAATTTGTTAGTATTTTGTGAATTTTTGGTTTATCTATCGATTTTCAACTGTCGATTTCATTTAAACTAAATTTTTGCCAACAGTTAATTTATCATAAAAATATCACAATAAGTCTTCAAATTTCAATAAATACAAATGTGTAAAATAAATAAATTATATTAATTTTTCTTAAAGTTTGAAACAGGCATAATTCATTTTAAAATTTTAATATAATTACATTATTATTTTGAAAAATTTTAGACCATTAGTTTTAACTCAAAGAAGTCAATCATATTACTATTGATATATTATTTATAAAAATGTTATTATCGCAATATTCGAATAAGAACATGCATGGAAGTTCTATTTTTGTTACATTTTTCAATGAATATTGCATTTCACTTTTTTTTTTTAATGGCCAACTTTGCAATTCATGTGGGAGACTACGCCCGGCTTAATACGACTTATTTTCAGTTTATTTTAATTTTTAATTTAATTTAAATTATTTTGATGTGTTTGATTCATTTTAATAATACAATTTATAATTTTTTGTAAGTCAAAAATCAACTTATTCTTTGAGTGGGGAAAGAGAAGCTTAATTTATAAATAAAAAATCAGCTTATATTCATAATTATAAGTTATAAACTGTTAGATTATAAGTTATAATCACTTTTTCACAGCTCTACCAAACGGGACTAACATTTGGTGGGCCCCAACTCTGGCCCACCCATTTGGGAAATAGACCCACAACGTGTCATCATCTTGTGGCCCAATGACTTGTCAAACAGCACTCATAACCGTCCGATTTCTCGCCATCGTTTAGGCCTCTGATCCGCCGTACGTCCCTGTTTTATATATATAACTAATGTTTTATATATAACTAAATTGATTGAATTTGCGTATATTGGTTGATCAGTTTGCCATTTAAAGAAGTTATAATTTGTCATTTGAGCAAATGTGGGTTGCTACACCGATTGATAAAAATGATAATTGATATGGATATCATCAATTATTCAATTGATTGTCTAACTTGTGAGTAATGTTTTAATAAAAAGTTCACTTTTTAAATTTTTTTCTTTTTTTTTTTGTAAAAAAATTGAAAACTATTTTTTTTTCTTTTCCAAAATGTCTCTGAATTCGACCGAGTATAGATCAATCATTTTTCTCTATATATACAGTGGCGGAGTTAAGAAATTAAATCAGAGGGGACATTTACTAATTACACTATTAAAATTTTTTATAAAAATATTTCACATAAATTTTTACCTTTAACTTCAAGAAAAATAAAAAATAATAACTTTTCCAAAATGTCTCTGAATTCAACCGAGTATAGATCAATCATTTTTCTCTATATATACAGTGGCGGAATTAAGAAATTAAATCAGAGGGGACATTTACTAATTGCACTAATAAAATTTTTTATAAAAATATTTCACATAAATTTTTACCTTTAACTTCAAGAAAAATAAAAAATAATAATAATAATTAATGTGTTTGCTTTTAGTTTTCTAAAAACTAAGTATTTTTTTTTTCGTATTTTTTTGGTTTTAGTGAATATTTTTTAAATTTTAAATAATTTTTTATATTTTTTGAGATGCACAATACTTAGATATGTATCCAAATAGTAAAATATTTGTAAAAAAATATTTTAAAAAATTAATAAATACACACAAATACGAAAAATATACTGAATTTTCATATTATTTATATATTTTTTTGGTAATTAGTGTATTTTTTAAAGATTTTTTTCACAAATATTATACTTTTTAAGTATATTTATGTTAGATGTGTTTAAAAATTTTAAAAATTTGCTTAAAATATTAAAAAAATTTATTGAAAACATTAAAATACGAAAAATAAAAAATATAGAATTTTTTGGAAACTAAAACCAAATAAACTAAATATTATTTGTAATTAGTGTATCATGCACAATATTAAAAAAAGTTATGAATATAAAGTTTTAAAATAAATTATATAATGATAAAGTAATTTTTTATACAAAATATACATAAAAATTCAATATAATAGTTATACCACGTCATTATTAACATGTGATATCACCAATCAATAGTAAAGAAACATATGAAGAATGAACGCTACATGTCAAATGTAACTAACAATTCAATAAATTATATATTTTCATTGAGATTAATTATGTTTACATGTCAATAGTGATAGACATTACCATTATGTTGAAATTTTTATAGATAATAATATCGTAACCACTTTATTTTCAATCAAAATAACAATTATTATTCTTATTATTTAAAAAATATCATTGACATTTAAAATAATATTTTTATAAAATTTTTTATTTAAAATATTTTCTTTATGTTTGTTTAAAAAAAAAAAAATTCTAAAACCCAAGAGTATATATCTATCAACAATGATCCATCCCCCTTTTCCCCCCACCTCCTTTGACCCCCTCTCTCTCATTAATTACTTTTTCTTTTTCTTTTTCTTTTTTTTCCTGCTCCACCAATCACCACCCGCCACGTGACAAAGGGGGTGAGGGGTGACCCCCAAAAAGGGTCCCCAGCATTATTCATATATCTATATATATCCATTATCCACACTCTCTCCTCTGTTTCTTCCTCGATTTGTTTCTCTCTATCTCAAAATGATTTCACTACAGAAACAAGAGCCTGTAGAAGACGATCAGAAACAGACAAGTGATCACAGAATCAACGGTGGAGGTGATATGGACTCAGCGCCACCGCTAACTTCGGAGCTACCCCAGAAACTACGTCAATCGCCGCCGCCGCCAGCAGTGACATTGAAGGAGGAGCCACCCGCGGAATTTGGGATGTTACCGGTGGCTGCGATGCCCCTGCCGTTGCAGATCAGACCATCTGCAGCGGCGCCTCCCAAGGACCGCCACACCAAGGTGGAGGGCCGAGGGCGGAGAATCCGAATCCCCGCCACCTGCGCCGCCCGGATCTTCCAACTAACCCGAGAGCTCCGCCACAAGTCTGACGGCGAGACCATCCGGTGGTTGCTGGAACACGCCGAGCCTTCCATCATCTCTGCCACCGGCACCGGCACTGTCCCCGCCATCGCCATGTCTGTCGGCGGAACCCTCCAGATCCCCACCACCTCCGCCGCCGCAACGAAAAAGAAACGCAAACTCCCCCAAACCCCGACCGCCATAGTACCACCACTCGGCGGCGGAGCAACACCACCACCACCCACTCAAACCCTAATCCCCATGTGGGCCATACCATCAAATTCAGCCCCAACATTCTGGATCGTTCCACCAACCGCCGCAGCCGCCATCGCCGGACCCTCGAATCAGCCCCAAATTTGGACGACACCATTGATAAACGTATCAGCGAGACCCATTTCACCGTTCGTAGCTTCCATGCAACAAAGTACCATCAACATAACAACCTCCAAAACAACACCGCCATTAGAGATCCGAGCTTTATCGTCTTCAGTGACTACGACCTCTACAGTTGGGGCTAAGACTGAGAAATCTGTTTCGATTAGTGCACCGAGTACTTCGAGCTCTGGTAAATCTGGAACTACTACGATTCCGACTCAGATGCTGAGAGATTTTTCAATGGAGATTTACGATAAACGAGAGCTTCAGTTCATGGGTAGTAGTAATAGTACTCGTTCTGTGAGTCACCACTGCCATGCAGAGTCTTCGAAACCATGAAGATTTTCAATTCAGAGTTTTTGATTGTTTCGCCGTGGACGTTCAAGTAGTTTTGAGCGTGAGTTTTTGAATTCAGAGTTTCTTTTTTCTATACGCAGAGAGAGAGAGAGAGAGAGAGCGAGAGCGCACGTGAGAGGATTTGAAGTGATGACGTGTAAACTGGGGTCAGATTACAATGGAGCCCACCATTGAGTCTACGTAGGTGTTTGGGAAATGAAATATGTATATGTGTATAAATTTATTTTGAAAATAATTTACTATTGTATTATATTTAGATTTACGTAGTATTTTTTTTTCTCTTTAACACAATGGTGGTGTTTGGAAAGCTGAGTTTGTGGCTAAAATAGCCTCAAACTAAAAAAAGAAGCTAAAAAACTCATAAACCAACACTTAAAAAAAAAAAAAAAAAGTTGAAATCGTGGGTTGTTAGTGACAATGTAGGCACAGTCTACCACTGTGACATTGACATGCTGTCCCATTATTAGTAAATGACGATTTTGCTCTTTTACATTAATTTTAAAAAATGTGAGATTATAGACAAATTTGTCATTTTAACTTCAAACATCATTTCAACACATATTTCAATACAATTCAAATAAAAATTCATCTCATCTTTCTAAATACAAAAATTAAAATAACCTATTAAAATAGTCAAAAAATCAAAAAGTCTCTAAAATAATCACTTTCCAAACATCCGCGATCTTGTGTTGACTTGGAGTATATTTTATCCATAAGAGAAATAAACACAATTTCGATCAATTATTTAATATTTAATTGTGAAATTTATTATATATATATATAAATTTAAATTTCAAAGCAGACCCCTCGTCTAAACCTATGTTTGATTGTTGAGCAAATTATAATTTCCCCGCATAAGATTTTAAATTAGGCTTACAAACAAAGTTATGTTTAATATCACACATAGACTGTGTTTGGTTAGAGGATTTGAAGAGGGATTTGAAAAGGGAAAGGAAAAAATTTGGTAAAATGTGAATAAAATATACTTATATTTCAACTAGTTTCACATACATTTTCCCTTTTCTTTTCTAAATTCCTTCCCAAATCCCTCAACCAAACACAACATTAAATAATTGCTTCAATGAGAGAGTTAAAATAGAAAATTAGTAGGTACGTTCAGAATATTATGCATTTATATACTTCCACCAATTATTATTTATCATGATTTTTCATATTCTTCAATTACTCAATTCAAAATTATAATATCTCATTTTCTTTACTAATTATAATATCATAAAATACCACGTGATCGGAAAATACCCTATAATCATCCAGTTAAAAGTAAGGGCACAGATGGGACCAACAAAGTTGTAGGTTTGTGAGTCCACTTTCACAATTTGTGGCGCATCTAGAGTCTGGGCCTAAGTTGTTAGGACAGTCTGGATAAGTTTGGTGGTCCACATGTACGTATATGTTGAAGTTTGGAACGATTACTTGATTGGATGATTCTTATATTGTGTTGGGTTTATGAATTTGATGCAGAATTAAAAAGAAAAAATAATAATAAAATATATTTAGTTTTACATTATTTTTTATTTTTTAAATTCCTGCTCAAATCTTTAACCTAAACACAACTTAAGTGTATAAGGTGAAACAATCTTCTCTGCCTAGGATTTTCATATCTAGGGTTCGCACCACCACTAACTATATACAATCCTTGTAAGCAATTGTACCAAACTCTTTTCCATAGAAGTTTGGTAGGCTAAAGGCTCTCTGCTCTGGTTTGCTTACAACTTGCTAAGTAATAATTTATATACGCTAAAAAAAATTGATTATCGGAAAGATAGAAGGGTGTTTTGACTAATACTTTCTATTTATCACCAACAGGACCATTGTAACGCATGTATATGATTGACTGATAAAGCTCAAATTTGATAGTTCAGCAGCAGACTAGCATCAAGAAGACTACAAAAGTCTCATCTATTATAGACCTTTATATTCACACACAAGCATTGTTGTTTGGGCAGTACAAATTGAATAAAAACACAATAAGAACAGATTAGTAATTCACTAATTTTATTTGTGTTATAAACAACAATAAGTTACATTATGTCACAAATCGACACTTTAGTTTAGTATCTAACCCATAAGGTGTATGGACCTCACTTTAGTTTACAACAAAAAAAAAAAGAACTTACCAGTTGATTATATGGTTAAGTTCTCCTGAATGGCAAGGAATGATCCAACTATACGTCCACCGACATCCGGGAAATTTTCACATCCAGGAAGGGGCTTAACCTTGCCCTTTGGATTAACTTCAACCGGGTACTTCAGGAGGTGTCCCCTCATCTCTGTCACCTCATCAGCTGCAAACTGTTTCCAGTTCATCTCACCTATTGACCTAACCCTTCTCACACATTCAATAGACTCAGGTTTTGTAAAGCAGTCCTCAATGACTCCAGTATGCTCTGCCCATAACGCCATTCTATATCCATAGATCTGCAAAGCATACATACATGCCCATAAAAATGAAGTCTCTTATTATTGTGCATTAACCAAATGAATTGGAACAAGTTCACACTAATTATTGTAATTAAGATGGGCTTCTAACCATTTTTAGTGTTTTCACAATTTCTAGAACTGACATCAATCACATTCTCTTCTCATTTTTGGCAATTGCCCAACCACTTTTATCTTGTAATTACTCCATCCTAGAAGATGATTTCATAATTTGACTTCTATAAGCAAAATATTAAAAAAAAAAAAAAAGAAAGAAAGAAAAAAAAAAGAAAAGGAAAGCCTATATTATTTTTAATATTAATAGCTTCCTTTTAGAATTTATTCCACTAGTGCGTACACAAAAACTCTGATTCATTTTGTTTCCATAAATAAGAGATTCTAAAATAAATATGAAATATTCAATATAAATATCTCATTAAAGGTTACCTGTCTGTGTGGATTGGATAGTTTTCTTGCCCAAGTATGATGAGGTTGGTAGGCTCCCATTGCAATCTCAGTGTCTCTGGAGCCCTCCATTGAACGCTGATTGATGTTTGCAGACCCTATAATTACATACTCGTCGTCCACTATCATGCCTTTTGAATGAACATAAATCATGAATCTTTGGCTTTTCCGGCTCAGTGCCTAAAATACAAAAATATAGATCATTTATGTACATACTTGACATAGTGAAGCTGAAAATTACAAAAATAAGCAATGAAAAATATTGGCTAAACAAAATGTTAATTTAAAAATAAAGGAGAAACCTGAGGACTGTTTGCTGCAGCAGAACGGTCTGTGCTTAAACTGTCACTGCTTGCAACTTCACGGTTGCCAAGACAAAAGAAGTTCAAATAGTCTTGTGGGGTGTATTCATTCTCAAGCCCAAGCTCCACTAAAGCCTTGTAAATGATCTCATACATCATTTGCATTGTTTTGTTCTGTACAATTAATGAGAGAGATAATTTCAAAATCAAAAATTGATCCTTCCGACGTATATACACTGCTGGGCAGATTAATAGAATTTTTTGATTTCCCATTGGAAATAAATTAATCCAATGAAAAAAAAAAGCAACAAAGTTATCCATCTATGAAGCTGCCTTTAAAATGCAGAAGTACAACGCTATGCGTTGAAGTCATAATTGGTTCCTACCTGCCAAAATAAAATCCTTTGTGTAGCAGCACCTGTTGGATTGCCTTCTGGCCACATCGGAATAACAATATAAGCTGCAAACCTCTCACGTGCTCTGATTTTCTCAGCAATTTTAAGGGCAATTTCCATGGGAATCAAATTGTTTGCACCTGCAGCAAGAAAATATGCTCACAATCAGTATTCAGTAAAGGAATTCAAGCATAAAAGCTCAGGAAAGCATCTATTTATTGTCGTATCAAAGGCCACTTCACTCTCAACTAAAACATGATGTAGCAAATCAAAAGAACTACCTAATCCTATTAAACCCTCCACCGTAAGTAAAGAGATAGAAAAAATCCTCAACCAGTCTCGTTGTTTGCTAAAATATGCAATGAAATTGTCATATAGGAGTGTATATAGACTTAGTGGAGTCTGTAAGCCACTTCTGTGAACCAAATTTCATGCCAAAAGTGACTTCAACTACCCAGTTTTGAGATAATCATTAACCATGCTCAAGTCCACCAGGTATTCTTAAATTGCATCAATTTTTCCACACCATAATATCTAAGATTGCATAACATAAACAAAAATGCCAGATAAAACTTTTTTAAGTTTTGGTTAACCCAAAAATAAACTATAGAATTATAACGATGCAAACCAACCAGTTTAATCTGGGTTGGGTATTTTTCGGTCTATAGAAGATTCTATCATTTGTGCTTTTAGAAAAAGAAACATAAACATCATGATTTTTGCATGTGACGGAATAGTTCCTTGCCTATGTCTTTATGGGAGCTCCAATTGTATGAAGACCCTATGAAATATTGATTTTCAATATAGATGAAATGCTGAGCAGCACGAATAGCCTTTACATATGCTGTATGTATGCTCATATCGATAAGTACATTCTTCCCGCACATCAGGTTCTGGTAGAGAAAGTCATCAAATAATATCCACAAAATCAAATCAATAAATAAAAAATTCTGAAACAGAGTTAAAACTTACCTTGCTAATCGCTTCCTTTGGATCCTTAGGAAAACCCCTAACAGAATTTGAATCAATAGAACGAAAAATCTGCATTTACATGACGTTACATTGTTATACAACACGACCACTAAGACCATTTCAGTTCCGACTAGAATATTCAATATATATATTTATCAATTTACCTGAACATGCCAAGCCTCAGGATCATTTTCATTTAGGCAAGGAGCATCAAACACCCCAATTATGTCAGGCATCCTTTCTATTCTGAGTAAAGAATCATCATAAGACATCTTCAGTTTTTTAATGCCGTGGGGTTTAGAAGCCTTCAACCAGCGCTCCTCAAAGTTTGCTAGAACATCATAAGCTGCCGGACCATCAATTTTACAATGCAAGTCATGCCATGGTTCTCTTGGACAACCATCAACATTCCCCTGTTAGTTAATAACATGAACGCAAATAAATAACACATTCATGGGTCACGAAAGAAAAATTTGTAGATCAGTATTGGGGGTGTTTGGTGTGGATTATTGTAAGCTAAAGTTGATAATCAGAGAGCTGTAAGTAGAAGCACCCTTTTTCTAGCTTCTAAATGATTAGTTTTTTTCAGCTTATTTAAGCTATTTCTGCCTAAAAAGCTTTAAGCAGAAGCTGCACTAAACAGTCTGACACAAATTCCCAAATTAAAATAAGTTATAATCACCTCTTATAATCCACACCAAACACCCCCATTGATTTGCATCCTCAAGCATTGGCTAGAAGTTGTAGAGCTACCAGGTTAACTCCAGAAAGTAGCACCCCACAACCAAAAATGTAACAAAGGAAGAAAAAAGACACAAAAATATATAGATAAATAAATAAAATAAAAAAGATCTAGCCGTAATTTGTTGAAAAGCATCTACTACATAGGAAACCTTTCTAGCGAAGGCTAACAACTAGGACCTTGCTCCTTATCTCTCTGCCTTGAAATGATTCGAACAATTGAAATTCACAATTGAATATTCTTTTTTAATGTTTAGCTTGTGAGAGCAATGCATTATCAAAGAGAAAAACTGCTAAGAAATTACCGTGTAGGTAGGGTTATGATAGTCATCTTTATGCACAGTTTGTAGAGTCCTAAATAGGGGATGTTGTGGAGTATCATATCGACCATCACATAAATCCAGTCCCCCAAGAAAAGCTATAATTCTTCTTCTATTATCGCCAGCATCAGCATCCACAATCACAGTCTTCTGATGGTGTGTATAGATTGTTTCAACTTCCTGATAACAAAATAGTAAGAAAATTAAGTTTAATCCAATATAATCTCAACAAATACCATGTACCAAACTAGATAAATAGATATATATATATATATATATTATACGCATGACCCCCATGTGTCGTGTCCTCAATTTTTCAAAAATTGTCGTGTTAGCGTGTCCGTGTTTTATCACATGTCAGTGTTCGTGTCGTTGCTTCTTAGGCTCAATCTCTCTCCTAATGAGCCATATAACAAGAGAAACCACGAACTACAGCTTATGTGTTTACTGTGATTTCATGCTTAAAAGCATGGAAGCTTCTTGGCATACAAAGTACACCCAGACACATAATCATACAATTTCTAAAGATTTGAGCATTCCACCATGATTTTGAGAAAAAGGGTTGTTATTATCAATGAATTTTCTGGATTAGGCTATCCAAAAGCTGACGATGTTACTTTGCCCCATTAATGTATCCTTCACAATTAGCATGTGGCATGTAGTCAACATTTTGTTCGAGTGTCTCACAGTTTGGCACCCCCTTTTTCTCCTCTTTTTGCCACTGCACTGAGTTTGTTTCATGATGATTTTAAGTGCCTCGAGTCTCAAACTAGCCACTTTGTTCAGATATTAACAAAGGCTACATTTTTTATTGAGACCGGGGTGTCTGGATCAAAACCCAACTAAACCCAACTAATCCCCAGGGGTGCACAGTAAGGAGTTTCCCGTAAGTGCACTACGGTTAATTCAAGGGTTTTCCACCAGTCTGATGGCTCCAAGGAATTGTTAGTACTTAAGAAGTTTCAATTTCTGAACCTCAGAGGGGGCACACGCCCAAGACCCAAGGCCTTGCCACCAGGCCAAACCATTGCAATTAACATAGGCTACATTTATACTCAATCCAGCCCACCCAGCAACCTGCAGCAGGACAGAACTGGGCAATGGCCTTCTCCGTAAATCATTTCGATTTTCAATTGACTTTCTACTTCCCTAAAACCCAAAACCTAGGTTTATTTGTTGTTCATATATCATAGCAATGCTGATTTCTGAAATCAAGACCAGTTCCATTCATATGGACTGACAACGTAAGATTCTTCCCAACAGTTGAGCTATGTAATGCAGCAATCTGTTTTCCATATAAAACATAAGAATAAGAATGCATGTGGTGCACCACTTTGGGCATCAGTTCCTATGCTAAAGCTCATTTTAGCTTGAAGTCAAGCAACTTGGACCATTTTGGATGTCCTCAATATAAATGGTGGAAGAATTGCAAAATGCAACAACTATGGCCCACCAAGTTTGGGCTAACAATTAGTTTTCCAGTAATGCTAATCTATGCTTTATCATTGCAAATAGTTTACAATTTCCAAACACCGACGGAAAATAAAATTATCGTTGAGGTGGGAAAAGTAGAGCATTAGCCATTAGGCATATAGGCTGAAAGACGACACTGAGGAGAGAAGGAAAAAAGCAATCACATACTCTTTGCTTGATCCAGCTATGCTTCTTTCCTGCTATGCGGGGACAAAGCAGCACTTGCACTGAAGACTGCTTGAAAAATCGGCGAGTTTCTTCGTCATGTGTTTGCATGATTCCATCCTGCAATTCTCAAGTTTTAGTGCTAAATGACACAATAAATGTAGGAACACTTTAAAACCAAACCATAACTTTGGGGAGTGCTATGGAAGAGAAATTAATTCACGGAAAACATTTTTATGATTGAGAAAAACAATGCAAATCCTTGGAGCGATGGACAGATGCAGGTAAATTAAGCATATTAAGCTCCAGTCAACTCCTCTACATGAAGAGGCATGTGGACAAGAATTAACAAAAAAAAAGCTTGCAAAATGTCACGTTGTCAACTCAAACCAACAGCTCAAGGCTTAGGTTTGTAAACGAAGAGAATTACAAATTAGTCCTATAATCTTGTCTGAATTAAAATACAAATGAAGCTTTGAATTTAAGTTTTATTTTAGCTCCACATGACTAATTTCATATCTCGTAATGAATATTTCAGTTATACCCAAAATTATACATGTATAAAAATATATCTCTGCTAAATTCAATATATAAATGAGTATTGAGTAACAAAGTAGTTGTCAATCACAATTCTTTCGGTTTGTGTTCATGTGTTTGCAATTAAGATATCAAATTTACAACCCTACTGTTTACAGAGTTTTAGCATTGAAACAATAAATCAATAGAAGAAATCACTTTCCACAGTCCCTAAATGACATTATGATATAACTGAAATTACATCAACTAATTAGGATACAAGGTAAACTACTTACTGTTTTGTAGCCCAGGATACTCCTTGAAGTAGGGTCATCCCACACAAGCAGCAGCACTCTCACCCCTTCTTGTGACTTTGACTTTAGAAGATCCCCCAGAGTGCCACTTGATGCATAATCACTGTCCCGAACCAGTTTCACTTTGTGCCATACTGCCCAACCAGTAATATAAATCAAACGCCGTGCTTGGCGTATTGCATCAAAGATGTCACGCCAGCACTTCCCATGCACATATTGCATCCCACGGTCAAGCTTCAAAATAGGAAGGTAACCATCGGGTACATGAGCATCTTGATATAGAGTAACTGTCCCACCTCTCCTAAGGGGAAAGTATGTCCCAGGAACCCCAACATAATCAGGACCAGCTCCGACTCCATGATGATAAATGCTCAATCTCTCTATTGGTCTGTACTGAATTGAGAGACTCAAAACAGCACCAGGCTTGCAGGGCTTCCCACTATTATTGAGGATTGGATACGATCTCTGAACTTTTTCCCCCGAGTATATATGTTCCACTGGAATTGCCACAACTCCCATAAGCTGGGATCCTACAACATCATTGTCCTTAACAAGAAAGTGCAATTCAGCAGCATAATGTGCGACGGGAACATAAAACCGTTGCTTCCAAACAGGATTTTCTTCATTACTAATCACATAAGTCCTCCCAATCACAGCACTTGTCACTGAAATGGAGACATATGGATCACTAGTGATCATATGATTCATGCTCCCTTCAATCTTGTTGCTCATGTTCACCGGTAATTTGCTAATCATATCTCCTAAAGTTTTATGAAACATATCCATGTTTGGAAGGTTTTCAGCCTTGTCGACCAAAATATCTAAGTCCCCATGTAAGAGCAAAACTTTCAAAGACCCCTTGGATGTTGAAAATGGCTGAATCTGCAAACTCTGATTACGTGGGGAATCAATAAATGAGTTCCAATAGGATTCAGGATGAGCGGGGGAATCAAGCGGCCCTGAATGAGAAGCATCCGAACTACTCGAAAATGACGTATTGGGATACCCATATATGGTCCCTTGGGTATCATACCTCGCACTTAGATTATGCAATGTTGGACCATAACTTGGTGCCGATGGTGCTGCAGGTGCTGGAGGTGATGCCGGGACAGAAGTGGTATTATCGGATATATGGAAATTAGTTAAAAGATCATCTATAGGTGGGTAAAGTGGAGGGTAATTGGGGGTATGACCACTGGCATGATCATGATTCATTGTAGACCCAGATTCCGCGGACGATGTGCTATCCTGGCGGTGAAGACCGGAGAAACTATTGGGCCGGGATGGATCACCAGAGTAGCTATCTGATGCTGGATAGGAAAAGTGGCCGGAGGATTGATGATGGTAATGAGATGAGCCATATTGGAAACTACCTTGGTGTTGAAAGTTTGTCTGAGGAGGGGGGTTGGCTACTGGAGGGACTAGAAAATTGTTGTAGGATGGATAAGGAAGCGGGCCAGAATTTGATTGTGGATGGTAGGGATATTCTAAGGGCCCTGGATGGGAACTTGGAGGTGGAGGACCTGGTGGTGGGTATGGATAGGTATGAGGGCCAGACTGAGAAGCATTGTAGTATGGGGAAGGAAGAGGGGGATTAGCAGAAGGTGGGTATGGAGCAGAATTGGGAGATGGGTATGGTGGTGGAACCTGAGGGTATCCATAGCCATAGCCAGTATTGTAAGGATTGTAATTATCCATCAGATGTACATACTAACCTGTTAGGGTTTTTCTACACAGATGCACAACAAAGAGAAAAAAATCAAAAGGGTTTTGTTTCTTTTACACTCAGATGGAGATTTTATCAGATTCAAGTGTAAAAAAATTAACAACAAATTCAGAGAAAGATTGCTGAACAAGCTAGAGAGAGAGATCCAAGGGCTTTGTCTATTAGTTCAATTCAAGATCACAAATAGCACAATTGAACTTGAATTGCTAGAACAAGCAAAGAACAAAGAGAGAGACCTGTTGGTTGTTGAAAAAGGAAAGACTATAAAGAGAAGAAAAATCAAATGGGTTTTGTTTCTTTACAAAATCAGATGGAGATTTTATTAGATTCAACTGTACAAAAGATAAACAACAAATTCAGAGCAAGAACAAATCAAAGGCCTTTGTTTATTAGTTTTTAATTCAAGATCACAAACAACACAACTGAACTTGAATAGAATAAGCTAAGAAGAGAGAGAGAGATACCTGTTGATTGTTGGAAAAAGAAGAGCTTGAGAGAGAGAGAGAGAGACTGAGGCTCGTTTGTGAATTAAATATTTAAGTTAAAAAGTTAAAAAATTATTTTTAATTGTTATATTATTATTTTTATTTTTATTTTGTATATTTTTTTATAAAAAAATTATTAAAATAAGTATATTTTCAAACGACACCTGAATTCCAGTCCCGGGAATCTATGTACCTGGTATGTAACGGTCAGTGTATACACCGAAAGAGTTACAACAATTTCGGTATTGCGTGTTGAGCTTGTCTTTCTTGGCCGAGAAGAATGAGACTTTCGTTACCGGCGGTCACTGTTTTCATTCCGTCTACGTGGAGATCTTTTATTGGAGCTGACATGTAAGTATACTCGGTCTTTTTAACTGCAATCTTTTTATTTTTAAAATGTTAGAGATTTTAAAAATTTTATTAAAAGTTTTATCAAATGTTTTATATGGGTGTGAGATTCACTACATTGTGTGGGTCCTATACCCATGATATTTAGTAAAATTTTTTGTAAAATTTTTGAGATCTCTAATATTATTCTTTTTTTTTTTTTTCCAACTTTCCAGCTCAGCACGAATTACAGTGATGGCAACTCAATTTTGACATGTTTGGAACAGTTTAAAAAACAAAACCATGATTGTACAATGATTTAAGTAAGTGTATTTTTTGATATCTAGACCTATTCCATACCCCTTCTTATGGCTAATATATGTCAGAATAAACTAAGGAAGGTGTTGTTTATGATGATTTAAGTAAGTGTATTTTTTGATATCTAGACCTACTCCATACCCCTTCTTATGGCTAATATATGTCAGAATAAACTAAGGAAGGTGTTGTTTATGATGATTTAAGTAAGTGTATTTTTTAATTTTTTATAAAATATGAGTTGAGTTTGAAGTGATGTGATAGAGAGGTAAGGTGATTTAAGACTTCGTTTGGCAAGTTGAATTATGGGCTTTTTTTGCCTATTTTAGCCACAAAAGATAAAATAAGCTATTTTAGCCACAAAAAACAAAACATCACATCCAACCCATAATCATTACACTCTTCTCTCACAAAAAAAATCAAAAAAGTCAAAAAGTCAAAAAGTCCTTCCCAAACCAAGCTTTTTAGCCCAAGCTAAAATAGTTAAAAAAACCAAAAAGCCAAAAGCTAACCCACTTCCCAAACCAACCCTAAATAAGATGATGTGACTTAAATAGAATAATGATTTTTTAACTTTTTGATTTTTTTAGGTTATGACACACAAGCATAAGGAAAGTTAGCGGATTCATCTATTCGAACTTTGATAGTAAGGCTAGGTTTGGTATTTTCTAAAAAAATTAAAAAGTCACTATCCTATTTAAGTCATATTATCTTATTTAAGTCATATCATCTCTCTACCACAACACTTCAAACCCAACCCATATTTCATAAAAAGTCAAAAAGTACACTTATTTAGAACATCACAAACAACCCTTAAGGTGTAGTTTGAAAAGTGGGTTGACTTCTTAATTTTTTAGTTTTTTAGTCTGGAGTTAAAAAGTTTGATTTGGGAAATTTTTTTGACTTTTTTGATTTTTTTTGTAAGAAAATGAATGTAATAATTATAGGTTGAATGTGCTATTTTGTCTTATTAAGTTAAAAAGTTTATTTTATTTTTTGTAATTATTTTAACAAAAAATGTCTCAAAACCCACTTTCCAAATTGTGGTTAAGGAGATGAGCAAAGGGTGATCACTTTTGTAATACAATTGTAGAATGATACGCTATTATGGCTTCGTTTGGAAAGTGGGTTGACTTTTTGACTTTTTAATTATTTTAGTCTGGCGCTAAAAAGTCTGGTTTGGGAATAATTTTTTTATTTTTTTGGCTTTTCTGTGAGAGAAAGAATGTAATGATTATGGGTTGAATGTGATATTTTGTCTTATTGAGCTAAAAAACCTATTTTGTTTTTTGTGATTATTTTAACCAAAAAAGTCCAAGGTTTGGCTTCCCAAATGAAGCCTATATATGTGGGTGTTGGGAAAGTGGATTTTTTTTTATGTTTTTTTAGTTGTAGGATATTATTAGAATTTTTTTTTTTTTTTTTTGTGTTTGGAAAGATAGTTAGGTTTTTTGGTGGTTAGATGTGATGTTTGTGAGAGAAAAAGTGAAATAATTATGAGATTTGATGTGATATTTTGTTTGAATTAGGTTTTTTTGAGTTTTGTAACCAATTTGTCTTTTAGCGGAAAAAAAACAAAAAAAAAAAAAACAAAAAACTTCCTTCCCAAACACTCCCTATATCAATTCTTAATTTACTATAATGATATGGGACTCAATTTCCATGACATATTATTGTAGGTAAAAGTGTAGGTCAATGTTTTGAAACCTAGATTGTTGATCAAACCATAAAAGGAATGGGGTCCAAGGGGCTACTTGTAGGGCTGTGCAAAATATAGTTTAATCCGTTAAAATTACATTGATTTGCATCAATTCGTACTGCTCTATCCGCTAATTACAGATTAAATTTTAAAATTTATAATCTGCATTCGAAATCGCCATACTCAGTTCCACTATAGTTAATACATATACTTTTTTACTTTTAATGAAATATCAAAATAAAAATGAGTGTGAAAGAGATTTAAAATGTGAAACTTGTTACAAATTAGTAGTTATATATATGAAACATATTATGTAAAATTAGTTTATACTATACGTGGAGACATATTTTGTAAGTAGCAACACGTGGCCAAGGTGGCACCGAAGTGCCAACCGAGGTGCCACGTGTCCTGAACATGATGTCGAGATGATCTCGGCTAGGCCGAGGTTATCTGCAAAGATGCCAGAGTCTGGAATAAACGGATAAGTTATAAGAGTCCTAGAATGGGGAAAGACCTCAGTCTGGATAAAGATAAAGCTCTTAGGGAGTTTCTCTCTATCTAACTAGGAGTCCAGGATAAGCATTGAGCCAGAGTCTATTGAAGCTAGGCTTCTATAGGGATCAGGTCAGTGTTGGCTATAAAAGTAAGGCACCCTCGTGGGTGTAAGGTACGCTTTTTGTATTCTGGCTAGTGAGTTAAGTACTAATTATTATCTTTGAGAGATAACTGAGTATTGACTTGATCGTCGGAGTGCTCCCGGGTGGACGAACCATCGCCGAAGTCTTATCTTTCTATGACAGGTCGTTCGGGCACTATCTATTCTGCCGGTGTTCTCCAGTTGAATACCTGTTTGTAGGAATGGCAACGGGGCAGGGCGGGGCCAGGGATCACCTTCCCCGTCCCTGATCCCCGATGGTGAACATTGCCCCGTCCCGATCCCGATCCCCGACGGGGAACCTATTACTTTCTCCATCCCCGCCCTCGATCGGGGATCGGGTTTCCCCGACCTCGAAAATTACCCGGCCTAAATTTGTTTCAACATCATCAATAACAACATTACACATAAATTTTCAACAACAACAACAACAACACAGATCTGAAAGACGCACAAAATCATCAAACAGATCAACGACAACATAGAGACACACATACATTTTCAACATCAACAACAAATCATTAACAACAGATCAACTACACAAAAAAAAATGATAGAATAAGACACAGATCTAAAAGGACGACGAAGGAGGAGAGAGAGAGAGAGAAAGAGGAACTAGATCTAGTAATCGATCGATCATGCAACGGCGAAAATCTTGAGCAAATTTGTACCATGCTTGATCGATCTCGTTGGAGGAGGAAGAGGAGATGGCACAGCGGCGCTCGTCGTCGTCGCGGAGGAGAAGGGACTCTAGATTTGGTGATGGTGGCGGCAAATTCATTGCCGACGAAGCACAAGTGTGGCAGCAGAGGAGATCTCGGCTTCGAAGGAAAGCGAAGGTCTCTGTTTTGCCCATCTGTACGTCTGCCATTGATCTTCGTCACAAGAACTATACAACAGAGAGAGAGAGGCTGAGAGAAGTGAGTGTAATGTGAGTGAGAGAGAGAGGCAGAGAGAAGAGAAGTGACACAAAATAACCTAAACATATAATATATATATATCTATACGGGGATTAGTCATATATATATATACGGGGATTAGTCGGAGCGGGGCAAGGCCAGGACTAGGGTTGGGGAACCTATCCCCGTCCTCCGCCCGAAAATCATCAGGGATTTGATTTTCAATACCATCCCCGACCCTATTGGGATAAGTTTCGGAAAAAAACCCGTTCCAATCAGTGTCGGGGGGTCGGGTTCCCATCGGGCCGAGTTTAAATTGCCATCCCTACCTGTTTAGTAGTGTGGTCAGAAAACAGCACACACAATTTGGCGCCGTCTGTGGGAAAGAAAGAAGAATAGATGGCCAACGACGGACAGAAATAGAAGATTGGGGACGACATCCCTACTGAAAGTGGTAAACACTTTGATCCTAAAGTAGAGGAGGATAACTGCAATGAAGAAACTCGGGATCAGAACACCGGAGAGAAGGACGTCGACTAGGAGGGAAACGTATCATAAAAGGTAGACCAAGGCAGGTATTATAACGAGAACGACCTCCAGGTATGGAAAGATAGATGTCTGCAGAGGGACGAAGAGATGAAGGGAATGGCGAATAAATTGGCGAACCTGCAATCAGTCGTCAATTTTATGATGCAGAACAACGTCATGCAGCCACCATTTCCGTAACAAGATACGCCGATCCCAGCGGCCAAAAAAGATGCCCAGAAAGGGAGGTAGAAAACAGTTCCTCCAGTCCCCCAGCACACCAGGACCAAGGAACACCCTCACCGGCCTTCAATGGAGATCGGGCGAGGAGAGTCAATGAAGGGAGATTCTCAAAGGACACATCGTACCAAAGAAGCTGACCCCAAAGAATATCGGCATGTTCAAGGGAAGAAACTTTGTTTTGACACGACCAATGGAGGGAGGTCCAAGAGGACTCATAACGATACTGGGAGTAGTGCACTGAAAAGGATAAAATCCGTTGATAGTCGAGCTCCTGGATGAACCAAGGAGGATTTGAGGGATTACCTCCAAAGGAAGCGACAAGATGCCGAGGTAACCTCACATTTCAAGCCAAGAACGCCGTTCTGGGTATCTGGGTAGAATTGGACAAGTTTGAGGCCCCGAAAAGGTTCCACATGCCGAGATTCCAGATATACGACG